CAATACACACCAAATTGAGCATGTGCATCTGACCACAGGTTCAGTCTGTATCAGGTGGTCATTTCAAGAAGGGGCAGAGAAGTCAGGATCAAACAGCTTTTATTTTACACAATGCAGAGTATTAACCCCTTAGGTTCCACAGTGAGTATAACAAGCATGCTTTACTGCATATACAGACTGATTTTACTGTTGTGGGTTTAGTAACACTTAAAGGTATTATGACAGCCATGAGTGTGCAGGTGGCATTGAAGATTTTCCCCCTCCCCCAGCCACACCGTTTAGCACAGGTGTAAAAGTCTATTCATTTCTGTCTTTAAGCCCACAGAAATTGGAATGACAGAAATTGAGGTTTGTATGACCAGCTTTATTGTGACCTCCCTCTTGAAGCACACACTATTGATATCAGTCGCTTTCATTGACTTCTATGAATAGCAACACTTTCAGTGGAAAAAAAAAAACAAAAACGAAACAAAATATGATAGTCGTGTAACAGTGAACACAAAGCATTGACATTCATTAAAAATACAGATGCTTATATACACTTCTAGATGAAACAGAAAGCTGGTTTGTTGCCACTTGCGTCAATAATCCTCTGCCAGCCATACACACCATGTACATTTCTATATACTGGAGCAAAGCAGTCTTGTAATACAGCTTTAACCTCTTCCATACCGGGCACTTATACCCCCTTCCTGCCCAGGCCAATAAGACGTATTTCATAACAGGCATGTCAAGTTTTTGAAGTTGTAATTTTTTTTGTCATAATTTTTCGGAAAATGAAAAAAAATTAAAAAATGTTCACTTTTTTTTTTACATATACTGTCATCAGTGCAGTACAGCGTGCTCATATAACTGGCATGGGACACTGGTGACAGTACGAAAAAAAATATTTTTTACATTTTTTCCTATTAGTTTTCATTTGTTATATTTTCTCAAGATTTCTTTTTTCATATTTCACTATGACCAAAGTAGTATAATGTTACCATAGTAACATTGTACTACTTTGGGGAAGTGATCAGTATTTTTTTTTTTATACACAATTTGCTTATAGGAAAGAATTACTTTGCTATAAGCAAGCATTTACCTGAATGACATCAATTCATTCAGGATTTTTTTTTTTTTGTGCTTAGCTGTGATTTGGCCATGGCTAATCACATGACACAGCTGGACACACTAGTATACAATGGATGGCATGAAAGGAAGTCATCCATTGTATACAACTGTCATGTGACCTGCTGTGATTGGTCACAGCAGGTCACATGGTACTGGAAACAGGGCCAGTTCACAGTTCTGTCGAGGTACGCGACTGGTGACAGATCGCGCCGCAGAGCGGCCCTGCTGTCAGGCAAACAGCGCATGCCTGAAAGAACGCCATATGGCGTCCACCGGGAGGGACGAGGTGCTCGCCCAGCCACCTTTGTGCTACTGGGCAGGAACAGGTTAATGATGTTCTGGATGGGGAAAGAGCGTGTCACTGAACTTGACACCACTGATGAAAAAGCAAGCTAAGGCTTGTCCTCCTAAGATTTATGGTCCAATTGTCTTTTGAGGAGAAGACAACCAATCGGCCATCATTGGCATATGCCAGTTACAAGAAGAAAAAAAAAAAAAAAAGTTTTTTTTTTTTTTTTAACTAGCATTTTAAAGCCTACCCACCAAATGGCTCTAATTAATTCAATCTCATTTAAATTTCCTATCTGGCTGCCTTGACTGGTAGGTCACGATGTTTACCAGCATCTTCATTTGAATTGACCCTACCTAATGCCTCATTCACAGCATACGTGCAGAAAAACTGATGTGCAGATTTCACTTGCAGAGACATCAGTTTAAATGCACGTGTCAATGAGTTTTTCTACACGTTGTGGATTCTTGTGCAGGAAAAAAAAAAAAAAAAAAAAAAACACTACGGCTGTGGTGTGACCGGGACACGGAGAAAAATTGATTTAGTTGCACCAGTGTAGCACTAAAGGGCACAAAACTGATGGCTCTGCACCACGGTGTGAACAGGCCCTAAAGCTGAACTGGCTGTGTTTTTCCGTGCCCAGTACTCTTATGTACACTGAAAGAAGAATTTTTTTTCTTTCTAAAAATTCTAATTTTTTATTAAAGTATTATTATTATTATTATACAGTATTTATATAGCGCCAACAGTTTGCTCAGCGCTTTACTAGAAACCCCCAATGGTTTTAAGGCTTGTTCACACCATGGTGCAGAGATGTCAGTTTTTCTGCAAGGGCACAAAGGAATCAGTCTCTATGTGCCCTGTCACACCACTAGTATCACATACGGATTTTTTTCTGAGCAGCAATTTGCAACGTGTACAAAACTTATTGAGGCACGCATGAAAACAGATGTCTCTGCAAGTGAAATCTGTGCATCAGTTTCTCTGCATGTATGGTGTGAACAAGGCCTCTAGGGTTCTTCCATTCACTAGGGTGTATTAAAAAAAAAAAAAAAATATATCAGAGCTGCCATGTGAAACTGTACATTTGTTCTGTGTGACAGCAAAATGGACTATTACTAGGCATTTCTCTCTCCACGTCAGATGTCTGAAGAATCTGTAAATCCAACATTTAATATTCCTGATGTGTGCCCGTTGTACTATGCACTTGTATGATAAAAGTAGCCTGTCCTCTTGGTATTGCTTCCGACTTGCAGCTGTGCCCCCCCGGCCCATTCACTGGGAAGACTAGTGTGATACTGTTTCTCCTCCCCCCATCTCTGTGTGCAGCTGAGAACGGAGGATTAGTGATCACTTATATAAAATGGGGGGGGGGGGATTTTATAATTTTTTTTTTTTTTTTACATCTGTACACAAGTTTTGCCTCTTATTTCTGTTTTTACATTGAACTTAACAAGGTGAGGGTTTACATATACTTTAATTCATAGAATCGTGAATCGGGAAAATAATTCATGAGAATCGTGTGAATCGGAAATAATTCGTGACAATCGGGAGGAAATTTCATGACAATCGTGTGAATCAGGAAATTCATGACAATCGTGTGAATCAGGAAATTCATGAGAAATCAGGAAAATAATTAATGAGAATCGTGTGAATCAGGAAAATAATTCATGAGAATCGTGTGAATCAGGGAAAATAACCACATTACATTTGTTTTTGCTGGCATTTACACAGAACAAATGTAAATGAATGACTAAGGCCAGCCATACATGGGTTGAAAAATCGACCGATTTTTCGTCCGAAAATCAGACCTAAGAATAATTGCCAGATTTTCACTGTTAGTAGATCAATGGCACCGGATGATTTTTGTGGTTCCTCCCCTTTTGGAAATCGGGCATGTTGGAAAATCGATTTTCGACTCAACGATGGTCAAATCCTACAATCGTTTTTCCGTAAAGAATATGCGCATAAGCCGTAACCTGGAAGGAACAGAAGTTTTGCATCGTATGTGGGGTGAACTTTATGACTTGGTTGGCTGATTTTCAAAAGCATTGATGGCACCATCGGATTACTGAATGAACGACGTTTCCGATTTTCGGAATCCAAACCATGTATGGCCTGCATTACAGTTCTGCATTTTTTTTTTTTTTTTTAAATATAAAAAACGTACCCCCTTATTGTCCCAGCAACAACCTTTCCCCAGACAGGAAGGAAGGTCAACAGCGCCACTGATTTTCTATTTTTTTTTTTTTTTTTTTTTTTTTTTTTAAAAGGTAGAGGAAAGTTTGAATGTTTTTATTTTTGCCCATGTCCCCACTACAGGGCTATGCTGAAATAGATGTCACCTTAAAAACATACATCTAAAAATCAAGCGTTAAAAACACAAATGTGTTCTAAACCTTCCGCACTCTGTACAAGACTAAAATAAAAGTGATCGGCTGTAGCCTTAATAAAACAATCTCCATTTTATTATGATCAGACAAAGAGTTTTGCAATCTAACCCTCTTGCCTCATTTCCCTCCCTGTGGTCTGAGAATAGTAATCACAGGGCTAAGCCAGTGGTCTGTATTACAATCTATTAACATTCAAAATGTCTGCAGCCAGCACTTTGCATAAAGAAGTGTGCAGACCAGGGCCAGAGGAGTCCTAGTTCTCAGTTCTATGTGGGGAGCACTCACTGTACAGGACAAAGTTCCAGCTGGTCACTGAAGCACCTCAAGGTTTGAGCTTCCCAAGCTCTGCTGTGAAAAACATGTTTTTATGAAAATTCTCATTGCCTAGCTGGGTCCAATTGGGTCACTTAGAACAACTAAGCAAATCAGGGGTGCCGACTTCATTTGCCGAATACTTGTTCCAGGGCAATTGCTCAGAAAGCAAGTCAGGATCAACTCCTTCATTGCTGACCTGAAAAGATTAGTGGCCAGTTGGAAGACTCCAGGTTTCTCTCAGCAGGCATCTCTAGGTGTTTACAATGAACATCGGTGGCCAATATACACACTTTAAACACAGATTCGCTGTGATTGGCTGGCCTAAAATGTCCCACGTTTGACTGCAGTGTCGCTGCTCTCTCTTTAGTACACTCAAAAAAAGTAAAATATCCGCAACATAAATATATATACAGTACAATGTCATAGCCTATGAAAATAGCCCCAATATCTTTTACATATTACAGCAGATATGTACAAGTAAACATTGCATATATTAAAAAACACATTAAGGCAAGTTAAAAAAATCGATACAGTTGTGATCTTAGATCCTGAAATTTGAAATTTCTTGTCCCATTTCCTAAAAAAAACAAAAAAGAAAAAAGATTACAGGGCTATGAACAATTATGGAGTAGGGTTTTAAGCAGCATATAAATAATGGAATCTGGCAATAAAATGACCATACATTAGGAGATAACAGTCTTATGGTATGATGGGAGTATAGGTTGGACATTGGGGGTGGGGGCTTACTCTGGCCTAAATTTACAAAGAGGTGACTGCATTAGTTTTACGTAAAGCGGAGTTCCACTCACCCTGTCAAAAAAATAAAAAAGTCAGCAGCTACAAAAACTGTAGCTGCAGACTTTAAAAAAAAAAAAAAAAAAAAAAAAAAAAAACAGCCACTTACCTCCCTCAGTTCCGTGGTGTGTCCCCTGCAGCCTGTTTCACCAGCCGTCCTGTATTCCAGGAGGCTGGCATCTTCAGTGTGGGCACCCAGCTGTGATAGCTTGTGGCTTCACAGCCAGGTGCCCACTGCGCATGTGCAAGTAGCGCTGCGCTTCGTGAATGGTCCTGTAGTCTTCTGGGACCTGTCACGTGTCCCACAAGACTACAGGGAGGGAGGACACCTTCCGCTTCTGATCGCCTAGGTCAGTGGTCGGCAAGCCGCGGCTCGCGAGCCACATGCGGCTCTTTACCCAGTCTAATGCGGCTCTTCTGTGTGCCGGGCCCTGCTCCCCTCCCTCCTCTCGGTCGGCCGCCTCCCCTGCCTCCTCTCGGTTGGCAGCCCCAAAAGTCCGCGCGGACCTTTTAATCCGGCTTGCGGATGTGGCTGTCAGGATGTGTGTAGGCGGGGCAGCGTGCCGAACGTGAGGGGAGGGGAGCTAGGCTCCTCTCACAGTCCGCCCTGAAGACCCGAACGGCGCGGGAAGACAGCGAGAGGAACGCAAAAGGTAAGTGAATTGACACGGGGGACTTGGCTTACTAGAAGGGGGGGGGGGGGGAATAGTACTGTGGGGGATGAAATACTATATGAGGGATGAATTACTTTATGAGGGATGAAATACTATATGGGGGGATGAAATACTATATGGGGGATGAATTACTATATCAGGGATGAATTATATATGAGGGATGAAATACTATATGGGGGGATGAAATACTATATGGGGGGATGAAATACTATATGGGGGGATGAATTACTATATCAGGGATGAATTACTATATGAGGGATGAAATACTATATGGGGGGATGAAATACTATATGGGGGGATGATGAATACTATATGGGGGGATGAAATACTATATGGGGGATGAAATACTATATGGGGGGATGAATTACTATATGGGGGATGAATTACTATATGGGGGGATGAATTACTATATGGGGGGATGAAATACTATATGAGGGATGAAATACTATATGAGGGATGAATTACTGTATGAGGGATGAAATACTATATGGGGGGATGAAATACTATATGGGGGGATGAAATACTATATGGGGGGATGAAATACTATATGAGGGATGAAATACCTATATGAGGGGATGAAATACTATATGGGGGGAATGAAATACTATATGAGGGATGAAATACTATATGAGGGATGAAATACTATATGAGGGATGAATTACTATATGAGGGATGAAATACTATATGGGGGGATGAAATACTATATGGGGGATGAAAATACTATATGGGGGGATGAAATACTATATGAGGGATGAATTACTATATGAGGGATGAAATACTATATGGGGGGATGAAATACTATATGGGGGGATGAAAATACTATATGAGGGATGAATTACTATATGGGGGGATGAAATACTATATGAGGGATGAATTACTATATGAGGGATGAAATACTATATGAGGGATGAAATACTATATGGGGGGATGAAATACTATATGAGGGATGAAATACTATATGGGGGGATGAAATACTATATGAGGGATGAAATACTATATGGGGGATGAAATACTATATGGGGGATGAAATACTATACGGGGGATGAAATACTATACGGGGGATGAAATACTATACGAGGGATGAAATACTATACGGGGGATGAATTGCTATGGGGATGGGGAATTACTATATGGGGGATGAATTACTATGGGGGATGAATTACTATATGGAGGATGAAATTACTATATGGTGGATGAATTACTATATGGGGGATGAATTACTATGGGGGATGAATTACTATGGGGGATGAATTACACTATGGGGGATGAATTACACTATGGGGGATGAATTACTATATGGGGGATGAATTTACTATGGGGATGAATTACTATATGGGAGATGTATTTTCAGTTTTAAAAATGTGGCTCTCAAAATAAATTTCAATCATGGTTTTGGCGAGATTTGGCTCAGTTGAAAAAAAAGGTTGCCCACCACTGGCCTAGGTGATCGGACCGGAAGTGGTAGCGGGTACATGTCAAATTAGGATACCTGCTCCCTCCCCAAAGGTGCCAATCCTTAATGGGGAGCAGTCAAAGCAGAACTTTCCATTTTGGGCGGGAGCTCCGCTTTAACCACTTCAATATTGGGCACTTTTATTCCCTTCCTGCCCAGGCCAATTTTCAGCTTTCAGTGCTGTCGCACTTTGAATGACAATTGTGCGGTCATGCAACACTGTACCCATATTGTGTCTTTTTTTTCACACAAATAGAGCTTTCTTTTGGTGATATTTAAGCCCAACAGTTTATTTTTTGCTAAACAAAAAACCCTGAAACTTTTGAAAAACAAATGCATTTTTCTTTGTTTCGGTTATAAAATTTTGCAAATAACCTTTCTTCATAAATTTAGGTCAAAATGTATTCTGCTACATTTCTTTGGTGAAAATAACCCAAATTAGTGTATATTATTTAGTCTGTAAGAGTCCACAGAACAAAGTATGCATGTACCAAAAAAAACAAAACAAAAAAAATACAGTGACCAGTCCAGTACAGCGTTACTATATAATTGGTGTGGCAGTGATCTGAGACACGGACTGGTGACCGTATGTAACAAAAAAAAAAAAAAAACCAAAAAACCACACAACAAAACTTAATTTGTATTTTTTTTTTTTTCAAATGTTTCCATTACATTATTTTTTCTTTTTTGTACTATTTTTTTTTCAACACTGTGGAAATAGAAATACGTTACCATAGTAACATTGAACCACTCTGGGCAAGTGATCAGGATTTTTTATCTTTTTTAACACATTATGATTGCTAAAACCAATGTATTTCATTGATCTTTACAATCATTGTTACTGAAAGAAACGGATTCAGTCTTTGGTTGTGATTAGCTGTGATTGGGCAAAGCTCATCACATAATACAGATGGGCGGTGATGGGCCCTGTCTCTATCATGTGACCAGTCACAGCCAACAACATAATTGTATACAATGAATGGCATGACAGGAAGCCATCCATTATATACAATTGACATGTGATGCTGTGATTGGTCACATGACACTGGCAACTGACCGGTGTAGTGCTATGTCATCAGCTGTGTCCCATGGACACAGCCGGTGACAGGCCGAGTGCCTGGCTCATTTTGACAGGACATCATATGACACCCAGTCACAACGAGGAGTGCCCTGCCCAGCCTACAACAGATTGACGACCGGGCGTTAAAGACCCCCTCCCCCTTCAATTTGCCCTGGTGATCCTGCCCATAACATCTGTTCTGGATAACAATTCTTACTGTATCCTATAGAGGTGCAGCAATATCACCCTAGGACAGAAGTATGTTAGAACTACAGAACACCTTCCCCTTGTCTGTAGTATGCTCTGGGTGACCTAAAACCCCTGTCCTTCTATGTTATGAAGACAAAGCCAACTTCCTGCCTTCCTCGCACATTTTCAAGTTACTTTGATTTCTTGCAGAATAAACAGATATTTTTTTGGACAGAAACATTTTACTATATATATTTAAACAGACCAAAAAAAGAAATGGCTTTCAACCTTTGAATGCACACAAATAACCTAAGCAAACATGACTGGCTGATGCACATTCTATTATAAAGCTGCTACTTTTATGGCAGCACAAACCTCCTCCGCCCAATCCCCTTCATTCTTATGGGTGGGCTGCATTATGCTCCATTATGAATATGGCTCACCCACATGAATAAATAGAGCCAGGACATGCATGTGCAGTAAGAGGACCGAACACATTTTCAATGTATTTCACCAGGTAGGGTGCACTAAGGAGTTGGGGGGATTACTTTACTAAAAAGGTACCGTTCTTCACAATGCAAGCTCTTGTGCTTTCATCCTCCCCTGTTCCTTGCCACAGAAATATTTTTTTAAAAAAAGTGACATTAAAAGGCTTAAAAAAAAAAAAAACAAAAAAACACAAACATGTCATACTTCTCAAATCTATGTGTTTTGCACAGAGCAGCCCCAATGCTCTTCTAGGGTTCCCACTGGCGCTCATCACCCCTCTGCCTTGACTAGTGCCCCCACAACAAGCCGCTTGCTATGGGGGAACTAAAAGCATGCTCGCTACCGATTCCTATCCCCACTGGCTGCGATTGACTGCCGCTGTTGCGTCTCAGCCAATAAGGAGAAAGAGACCCAGTAGAGGCAAGCCCCCCATGCACAACACTGTGTTGAGATCAGCCTCATGGGCTATGGGGGGGGTTTAGCAGCACATGGGTTTTTACCTTCTTGCATAGAATACATGAAGGAAAAAAAATAAAAAAAAAAAACCTTTAGCCTTTACAACCACTTTAAATTACGAAACAATGGACATTAAAGTGAAATTATGGGGTAATCCCAACTACTCTTAAAACCACCCCCTCCCAGGCTTACTAACCTGTGTAAGAAAAATCTGTATACTTACCTATTTTCAGGTCACTCCAAGTCCAGTGACACAACCTCTGTAAAATCTTACTGCTTAAAAAGGGACGCCATTACTCACAAAGTAAACTTTATCTCCTAGATTGTAAGCTCGAAAGAGCAGGGCCCTCGATCCCCTCATGTTTTGCATTGTATTGGTATTGTTCTGTCACATGTTCTGTCCCCCTTTGTAATGTACAGCGCTGAGCGAACTATTGGCACTTTATAAATACTGTATAATAATAATAATACTATACCTGCACCAGCTGAGACTTGTCGTAGTCCATGCGATGTCTGTAAATACATTGGCTCAGCACGGCATATAACTTTTCAAGTTGCAGTATATTATATCCATTTGTTCTACTCACAGCTTTTTCTAACAAATCCTAAAATAAAAAATACCGCATTATATTGCAATTGCACAATGGTTTGGAAATGTATATACATTATGTATGATGTTCAAGGTCTAAAACAAAACCCACAATTAAACCCTTTTCTGTAATGCAGGCTACATATACAGTCATAAATGTGCCTCTGCACTATAACTGTCAGTCAAGCCTTGCAACACTCTCCCTTCAGGCAACTTAGCCCACTTCTGAGGGGAGAAACATTTTTAATACGGTATTGGCAGCTATACTTCTTAAGTCCATGTGACTGACTTGGGACAATTATGCAAGGTAGAAGATCGGACTTCACTTGCTAAATGCTTGATCTAGGTAAAAACACACTACCAGGTCACTAGCATTTTCAAAAACATTAGCAAAAGATGGCCCTTACACATTTTATTGGTCAAAGTAATAAAAGATCATACAAAGTGCCATGCTGATGTAATTGTAATAAAGTCATACACAAACAGTGAAACTTGCCTTCAGGCTCTGGTGATCCACGTGGAACGCTGGAACAGGCTCAGAAAGGACATCCATTATTTTATCCACGCTTACAAGGCTCTGCTGTTCCACTTGCATTTGTCTTCCACGGGTCATTCTCAAAACACACACCTCTAAAATAAAATATTGAAATTGAACAGACGGATCAGTTAAAGCATTAAAACAAAATTAAAAAACTAGCAATTTTGAAAAGTCACCGGCAGGCAGAGTTTTTCAAAACCCCACCCCAGTGGTCTCTTCAGCAATTGTGCGTGTTACTGTGCTAAGGGTACTGATAGAATATGAAGGCATCATCGACGACATTATCATGTGCAACAGTGTTCTATCATTCAGCTCAGAGGAACGATCATAAAAACAGCCTTAAAAGTATCACAACACTAGGACTGCTTTCACACGGATTTGTTTTTACCATACCAAAAAATGCACCATTGGAGTACATGGTAACGCGTTTTCTTCCCCTTTTTTGCTTACTATGAAAGCAGAAGAAAAAACAGAACACAACCACACCAATTAATTATATATACTTATAATGCCGCGCTCCTACTATAAATACTTAATCACATAGTGTATGTCACTCATATAAATAAATAAATAAAAATAAAATAATTAATAAAAATTAATTAATGTGACATATAAATAAATATAATTCAAACCATTATTGTGCTAAAATATGTATTAAATATTTTAGCACAATAATGGTTTGAATTATATTTATTTATATGTCACATTAATTTTTATTAATTATTATTTATTATTTTATTTATTAATTTATTTATATGAGTGACATACACTATGTGATTAAGTATTTATAGTAGGAGGCGCGGCATTATAAGTATATATATAATTGATTATTAAATACACAATCAAGTGAGTTTGTGAAAGTGTCAGCGCACCCAGCGCAATATTTAGGTAGTTTACTATTACTAATACTATATTGAACACCTCATTCATAGTAGCTCACAAGTATTCACTTTTTATACTGTTTACAACCACACCAATTCCCCCCCCCCCCTTCCCATTGAAAACACAAAAAAAAAAAAAAAACACACCTGTGTTGCGTTTGAGTCTCACATGTCCTTTTTAACACGCATAAGTGTTTTTGCCGCACGTGTGACAAAAAAAAAAAAAAAAAAAAAAAAACCACCTAGCAATTTTAATTCTAATGTATATGACCCAGTGAATTCCCTACATGAGGCAAAAGTTATATAATTGGGCACTCAATTACTCTTCAGTAAGTGCCCAATAATATAACTTTTGCTCATTTAAGGAAATCACTGGGTCATATACATTAGAATTAAAAATTGCTAGGTGAGGGTTTTTTTTTTTTTTGCTAGATAAATGCAGTCTTGTCTCTCCAAAGCTCTACAACCTAACCATTTCTCTACTTTGTGCATCAACAGGGCATAGAGGACACCAGAGCCAGAAGTGGAATGATGTGAGATGGAGCAGTGATGGTGGAGTCGGTAGTGCTGGAGGATGACACTCTGGTCCAAGCTGGTCATCATGCCATGCATACTTCAACATTATAGGAAAAGCGGTCTACCCTCAGCTACACTCATAAATCTGCTTTAACAAATAATTACCAAAACCATTACACTGTATTACAAACCCTATTGTTCCCAACACACTTCTTCTCCTACAACCACAGTGCAGTATATGAATGTTAGACAGCAAATACAAAAGAGTCCCATCATCATTAGGTTTTTGGAGAGCTCCACTTTAGTCATGGCCAATTACAACAGTAAAATGCCTTCACGTACCATTTAAGTCTCTAAGATCACCATTTAATGCTGCCGCTGGGACTTCCTCATGTCTTTTCCCAAGTTCTCCTCTCTGAGCTTTA